ATTTTCCAATATTCTCAAAACACATTTAGGGGACAGGGCTGGGCGCCAATCAATCACCAGTTGTCATTCTTTTAAGGCATTTCTGCAGGTTATGAACAAAGAGAAGGTTCCTCTTCCCTTTATGCCTCATATAGTTTCCCTCTGCCCTCTGGGAAGAGAAGATTCAGCCAAACAGCAGGTGTACTGTCACCAGTCCCACTAGGACTGTGATCGCGACCATTCTTCCCCTTAAAAAGCATCCAGGCACACTTGGTGTGGCTTCAGAGCCAAATTCTCAGGGAGTTAAATAGATAATGGGCTTTGCTCTAGGAACTTGAAGTCCAAGACAAAGAGCTCTGACATTAAGCTGTGACATACTAACAAATACACCTTAAACATAGCTGTTAATTAACTGAGCAAACGAATTTCAGGAAGCGCACTGACGGACTTAGGGAAGGGAGGCATTTTCAAACAGATTAGAGGTATCATTTACATATAAGCCAGATCAATGAAATATAACAGGAGAGACTAAGCTGCTTTGATCCACTAATCATCTTTATCTACTCATTAGTCTCTACAAGGCCATTTAGAATTGTTTCTTTGCATAACTGGAAAGTTGGAATCATTTTAGGTCTATAATTCTTTTTTTCTTTTTCTTTTTGGTCTTTTTGAAACAGAGCCTTCCTAGCAGTTCAGGCTGGCCTTCAACTTACTTTGTAGCCCAGGCTGGCCTTGAACTCACAGCAATAGTCCCTGCCTCAGCCTCCCAAGTGCTGCGATTATAGGTGTGCACTACCATGTTAGTTCTATAATTCTGACTTTTCTTTGAATCATATTGTCCCTCAGTACTGGAGGAAACTGAAGAAATTCCTTGCTTGTCTAGAAGAAGGCACTAGATTTTGAGTCTGGTGCGATGCCTCTGTGCTACAGAGGCGGTGGCAAAAGCACTAGATTAATAAGTGTCAGAAGGACATTTTTCCTCATCCATCACTGCAAACCTACTGCCTAGCACGGTTCCTGACATGCAGTGCATACTTGATATTTATTTATTTGTTCATTACTTATGCATTTATTTTTATAAGATACTGGGATTTGAATCCAGGGTCTTTGCACTAAGCTATGTACCCAGTACAAAATTCATACTAAGTTCTTCAAATGCATTGGCCAGGCTTGAGCTTGTAATCAATCCTCCTGCCTCAGCCTCCCAGAATGCTAGGATCACAGGCATGTGCCACCATGTCCAGTGCTCAGTAAATATTTGTTGAGTATCAGAACTGCTTTAGAAGCTGAGGATCCTGAGATGGGTCCTGTGCTTTTAAGTAAACTTAAGTTTTCTCAAACTCTTCCATGATTTCTGCAAAACTTACACTTTAAGAAGTACTTCAATGGCCAGAAATGAAGCTCGAGGTGGAGGAGTGGGGTAGTCACTGCCACAAGGAGGGAGTGGGAGTGGGTGGTGGCACGGACAACCTCCAGTCTCCATCTTGCTTCTAGACCTGACTCTGAGAGGCCAGGCGTGTCCTTCTCCACTGGATGAAGGCCACTGGGTCCCAATGTTATTTTGCTGCCACTGTGTTCCCCTGATGCTGTTGGCTCCACCCAACTGACTTTCTTTGTCTTCCTCTCCCTGCCCCAAACCCCAGTCTGTATTGCCTAGACTGGCCTCAAACTTGCAATTCTCCTGCCTCAGCCTCCTGAGTACCTGAGATTACAGGTACATGCCACCACACCTGGCCATTCTACCCACAATGGTAAAGGATCACGTGTTTCTACTGATCGCCCAATTCTACAGAAGAAAACACAGTGATTTAATGGTCTTGACCTCTGATCCTGACTCTGGAGCTGTTGGAAAGTCTCACTGGGCCTCACTGGGCCTCCGTTTTCTTGTTCATTAAATAAGAGGATTGCTCTAAATAAACTCACAAAATCCCTCCCAGGCCCACAAGAATTTCTCAGGTTTCTAGAGGGAGAGGTCTTGGTGATGAGGCCTGATAGGTGGTTGGCTGAGCTGGGTAAAAAGATGGGTGTGGCTACTGTTATCCTCTGCCACGCCCAGAGGCCCCAGGTCAGCATTAAAGGGTCAAGTTGCTTGGACGGTTCAAGCCACCTCAACTGCTTCAAACATGCCAGTTTATAAATAGCACCAATTACTGATGTTCTAATATTAAGTTCCACTGTATTTCTCTGAGATATTAAAATATAAATTATACAACAGAGATAAATTGATGGGAATTTTTCACACGAAAAAAGAAAGCTGTAGTCTCTAATGACAGTGACATATTAGTGGAAGCAACCAAACAGGAGTTGGGGAAGTTGGCCTTACGGTGGCCAGACAGGCACCTAGATGGTAGGGCAGAGTAAAGCTTGGGGGTGGTGAGAAAACCAGACATTCTCTGTGAACGAAGCAGCACCAAATGTGTGCTTGGCAACTTCTCATTTTAATCATGGCACCAATTTTAACATAGCAAGTATGTGATTACTACTGTCTTCCGAAAAACATGTCCCTTCTGGCTGTCACTTGTGCCCCACCATTGTCCTCCAGTGGTCAGCAGGACAGAAGAGTGCATTTAGCTCCTGCCATGTGGAACTGTTAGATGGAAACCTCACCTTCCATCCTCTTCTGTGGCCCTCAGGCTAATGCCTTCATTTGTCACATACCGGAGTGAGAGAGACGGTATCTTCAATTTTAAACAAACGGATGTATGCTTTGCAGACTTGGGTTAAGGTCCTTTGTACCTGGTCGTTACATGTAGTGCATCATGAAATCCAGATGCAACCAGTGTCCTTTCTCTCAAATAATTTTTATGGAAATGCTGGGTCAATGTGCTGGGTGCAAATTCTGTTTCCACTGTTTTGGTCCCTGGTCTTGGAGCTCTCATAACCTCCTCTCAGAATTCCAGGGAAAGGGTTGGGGGATGGAGAAGAAGGGTACAGAAGGCCTTGGACTTGAGGCCTTGATCCTTCTGAAGCTGCATCAACATTAACAGCTGCAGGAAGATAGCCTCTGATGTGGTTAATTTTGAGGTGTCCTGGACAGGTTTAGATTGGTTACACGAGTGCCCAGGCTAACCAATAATCAGCTGTCTTTTCAACGGACCATCCTGATATCATTTATTCACAAGAGGAGTGGGACACTGCTTACAGTTGAAAGCAGGAGGCAGTCTTTGTCTAAGGCAGTCAGCTCCAGCATTAACACTCCAAACTTAGCAAATAAAGCCTATGCACACTTAAAAGCGGTTAAGAGGCTCAATTTTATGCTGTGCTCATTTTACCACATTTAAAGAAAAACAAAAGCCCTGCATTACTTAGTCCCATGCTCCTGAGACAGCAGCACATCAACCATCCCCTCTGACCCCCATGTGCTCAGCTGGGGCATCCACCCTTCCTCAGTGGCCAGCGCCCACTGTGTCCTCCCCAAGAGGACTCCCAGTCTACACTGCTTTCTCCATCTGCTCCCACATCCGGGGATGATGGAGCAGCCCTTACAGACACTGCCCTGAGCTGAATTTACCTCTGAGCCTGGAGAAGCCATCAGCCAACTGCTCTCTGCTCCACCCTGCACCATGGAAAACTCCAGAAGAGGATGCTTCCCATCTGAGTGAAAATTATTCTCTTCAACCTAGTCTTAAAATTTAAAGACTTTGGGGAAAAATGATGATAAAGTTAAGGCCTTCCCTCTGGGTGGTGAGATTGCACATGGGAGAGAAGAGAAGGAGACAAGGGAAAGAAAACAGAGGAAGAAGGGGCTGCGGGTGCTGGGGTCACTTCCAGAGGGACCAAGAGGCCTGGTGAAGATGCGTACCTGGGCACAAATATGTCTGGGTGTCAAGGGGACAGGAAGTCAGAGACCTGAGTCAGGAAAATCACCATTTGCACAGTGTAACTGCCTCTGTCTTCAGAATGACCCACAACTTCCCAAAACAAGCCCAAGGCCCAAGTCAAGTGGTCTAGTTGTGTGCACCATCTTACTTCCCAAGAAAACACAAAACTCTCATCTCCTTCAGCTAACCGTTTTCATAAGCCCCAGCTAATTCCTCTGTTAAGGAGTAAGCCTTAAGTTACTTCTCCCAGACCTTTATCTCAGGAAAGAGAAAGAGTTTAGAGATGACATTTAAAAATGAAGTTATCCCCACGGTCGCTGAGCAATATCTCATAACAGTGTTCCGAGGCGTCTTTCTAAGTCTTTATAACAACTCAAAATTGCTTTTCTTGACTAGGAAGGCACCACTGGAGTGCATGCCAGCGCTGCAGTAAGAGGTTTGGTTTAAATGCAGATTTCTCTGCGGAAGAGAAAGACATGAAAGAGCCACAGGGAAATGACGACCTGTCTTAACCCCTTTCTCCTGCTCGAGTCTCCTCTGGTTCTCCCACCTCTCTCTGCCTCTGTCTCTTTATATATATATATATATATATATATATATATTTTTTTTTTTTTTTAAATGGCTACTGTTCTGTCAAACAATGCAAAGCTGTTTTTTTCCTGTCAAAATCACAACAGAGCTCCAACAACCTGAATGTCTTAATCTACTACTTAGTTGATATAACCCAAGAAAATTTTACAGGGCCTAATCCCCTTTATTCATGGAGGACATATTCCAAGACGTTCTGTGACTGTCAGAAACTGGCAACGATACTAAACCACGTGTGTGTGTGTGTGTGTGTGTGTGTGATAAAGTTTAACTTATAACTTAGCCACAGCCAGAGAAAAGCAGCAAGGGTAACACAACTATGACAATACACTGTGACAAAAGTTATTTAAAACCTATGAATGATTTATTTCTAGAATTTTCCACTTCATATTTTCAGACTGAGGTTGAACATGGGTAACTAGGTTATTGAGAGTGACACCACAGACAAGGGGGTGCTTCTATACCCCCAAATCAATTTCATTTTGTCTCCTTTTCTCCCTGACACCTTCTTATTTTAACAAGCTGGAGCCATCGTTTTCTTCTTTCCCAAACTTGATCAAACCACACATACTGAGCAGATGGCGGAGATGGCGGGCGGCACCTGGCACCTACCTTGCCCAGGCCTGGTGTGTCCTTCACCTTGTTGACAGCCCTCAGCAGACAGGGCGGGGCCGGCGGTGGGGAGGCCTGCAGAATCCCACTGAAGCTAGTAGCAAAGAGCGGTGTCTCCACAACAGAAGAAGTGGAAGGCCGATGCTTCTTCTTTTTGGAGGACAGATTTAACTTCTGGGCAGCTCTGTGGAGGCAAACGCAGTAAAGGATCAATGGGGGGTGGGATTATTACACAATGAGGTATGTTAAGGTCACTGCTGTTCTCTCTCTTAAGACCCCACCCTTCCCTGTCCCTTCTCCCTCCATGGAGTCTCTGGAGTGGCCCTTTCACACAGCACAGCACACTTAATGAGCTACCCAATCATTTATACAGCAGAAAAAGGCCATAAAACCGCGTGGGTCTGCAATCACAATCTACAAAGAATTGTTTGTTATCCACCGACACTCAGCCGAAGCATAAATAAAACCAGTCAACTCGGGGGAAAATGGCACCTATTAAGTTAATCATTCCATAACTTGCTTGGTATAAACTCAAGTGAGAGGGACCCTAGGGCTCATTTAAAAACTCTAACACCTTGTAAAGCCCAAGCCAGGCTGAGGAAGAACCACGTGGCAACTAATCAGGCCACGTGACGTCTGTGCCTAGGAAGGGAAATACAAGGCCCAGTTCGATGGGGAAGGTATAAATCAAACTGGCCATAGTACATGACACTGAATCAGAATACCCGCTCCAGCCAGGGTGCAGGATGCTGAACTCGGGGCTGGATAACAGGTTTCTGTGCAAGGCAGTTTATAAATACAGAACACAATTCATGGACAAGTACAAGGAGTGAGGGGTCAAGGCACAGAAGGGGCACAGAGGGGCCACATAGGGACAAGTGGGAGGGGAGGTGGCCGGCATCATTAATAACACTGACTGCTCATGTCACCGCTTCCATCACACATGTGTTCTCTGACACTTGGATCATGATACTCCTCAGAGAAAAAAGAGAGAAACAGACAAGAGGCATTTCACACTCTACTACCCTCATTTATGAATTAATTCTTGTGCTTTCACACTATAGTCTTGTCCTAGAACTCACTTTCCTTAGGAGATGTTGTTATTAAACGTTTGAGATGCTTCTTGTACCATGACTTTATTCTACAGATGCAAACCTAATAATCCCTCTAGTGTTGTTAGTAATTACAGGACAGGTCACAAGACAGGTCAGAAAGACAAAATCAGTATTACTTGCACATCCTCTCTCCCCAAAATCTTTCTTAATGAGCTGGAAATGTTGGTTTTAATTTCACTTCACCAACTAGCATGCTTTGGACAAATCTGGGCTACATACAAACTGCCACTTGTACAGAGCAAGCAGCTTTACTACTTCGGAGCTTAATTTTTCTTAGCATTAAGCCTGAAAGCCTTTATCAAGAGTGAAATACAGGATGGGTGCATGGGGAGCAGAAGATGCCCTCCCAAATCCCAATACCATGTGCTAAACTTGGGGAAATGCACAGTCTCTGGGGTGTAAGGAAATGGGAAGTGAAGGGCAACAAAAGACAGTTCCACAATCAGGGGAAAGGAAAAAGCTGGGAATTTTTTTTTTCATGATTTTCTTGCCACTGTTCTTGATAGGTCCCTTCTGAAATTAAGGATGAAAAGGATTTGTTCAGTGACTAGGCTGGTGCTTCTCTCGGCAGGTGTGACTGCTCGTGGAGACCCTCTCCCTGCATGAACAGCGACTTGTCCTGTCGTAGTGTCTGTCAGTGGCAGAAGGCATCAGTTCGATTCTTCACAGTGTTCAGGCCGGGCTGGTGCTGCTTGGAGAATCAGAAGGAAGAGGGCTCATCACGGGCTGCAAGGAGCTGAAAGGTGGTTCCTATCTGTTTCCATGTAGGATAGTTTTACCCTGGAGAAAAGGCCTGGCCTGGGTTCCCAGTCCAAGTGGGGAGACTTGGCTGAGGAGCGAGACATTGGATGACATTTAGAAGTAGTGGCCTGGTGGATTTTTCCTTTCTCTTACTCTCTGTTACTCAGGCCCACATCCTCATGCTGTAGATACACTCAGAGGTCAGCAAATGTCTTGCAATTAAAGCACATGCAAGGACAATGCTCTAAGATGCTCCTCCTACAATACTGCATTTTCCCATCTCTTTCCCAGGAGCCTGAGAATATGTTGCCATTTCTTTCACCATAAAAAATAAAATATACATCATTCTCTTGGATTTTTTCTTCCCAGCTAGCTGCTGTTCTCTTTCTTCACTCATCTTGATGGAAATGCATGGAAAGTGTGGCCTGTGTTCCATTTACCCAATTCCTGTCTTTCTGATCTCTATATTCTCTTCCTTCAGGCATCTGCCTCCTCCTCCCTTGACACGGCCCTTGCCTAGGTTACCAGGGACGGCACGTTTGCTAAGTGTCCATCTTGTCCCGTCAGGACACTGTCCTGCCTTTTGGATGCACTTTCTCCACCTCTTCTTGGGGGGCCCCTGGGGCTCAGCCTGTGGGTCTTTTCACTCCTGCGTGACATCATTTTGCATTTGCTGCCAGGATCACAAATTAAATAACATCTTTACACTTACGACTCAGCAAGTTATCTTCATTTTAAACTTCTTTCTGAACTCTTATTTTATTTATCCAAATACCTCTTCAACCACTCCGCTTAGTTATGGAATAAACATCTCAAACTTAACATCTTTACAATTCCTGATGTGTCCCTGTCTAGCTATTCAGCACTCACCCTTTCCTATTTCAGAAAGTGGCAGCCCTTCCTGCCAAGGACCCAGGCATCTGATTTCTCACACATCACATCAAACCCACCAGGAACTTTTTTTTTGTTTTAACTAACCCTTTCTCACCAGCTTTACTGCTGCCATGTTGGTCTGAGCCACTGATTTCTCTTCCTGCTTGGGCCCTCCCCTAATCTATTCTCCACACTATGGCCAGAGTGATTCTTTTAAAACTCAAGTCTCTCCAAGCTCTCCATGTGTCTCCCCATCTCACTTAACAATAAAAGTGAAATTATTTACAATGGTGTTCAAGGCCTTACATAATTTGTCCTCTGTGCTCTGTGTCTCTCACACTATTTTTTCTGTTATTCTCATCGATTTGTTAGGAAAAAACCATCAGAATTAGCAGGCTGGCCATACTAACCTCTGTATCTTCCCAGCTTCCCCCCTAAAGGGCCTTTGCACAGGCTCTTTCTTGCCTTAACCTGAATGCTCTGCCACAGACAAAGATAGGCATATGACTCACTCCCTCACCTTTGAATCGGTAGCCCAAATGTTACCATATTAACAAACCTACCCTGTTCATCACGTTTGAGAGCGTTTTCCAAAGATGGTTACATCCATACATCTGTCTCTATACTTTTCTTACAGCATGACTCTGACACTCTATCCTGGAGAGATGGGGTCTCTGTCCCTTATCTCTGAACCTGTGTGTGACCTGAAATTGCCTTTACCAACAGGCTGTGCTGAAAGTGAGACTGAGGACTTCCAGGGTTAGGTTATAAAAGGCGACACTGCTTCTACGTGGCTCACTGTTTCTTACTCTTGGAGCTCAGCTTCTAGGCTGTGAGGAAGCCCAGGTTAGACACAAAAAACTGAGGACCCCAGACAACAGTGTGGGTCAACCGCTAGAGAAGCAAGTAACTATGCTTTTAGAGGGTTCTAGATGCCACCCTCAGGGCTGCAGCTGGAGTCTCAGACATCATGGGGCACAGGAAAATCACACCCCTGTGTCTTCCCTGACTATCTCTCTCCCAGAAACCACAGAAAATAATAAATGATCATTGCTACTTAAAGCAACTAAGTTTTAGGGTAATTTGTTGCACAGTGTTAGAGAATGAATCACTTTGAGATTTCCAGTTTCCTTCTCTGGCCACTCCCAACCGTGACACTTATCATTAAAATAGAAAGTTATTTACTTGGTTATCATGTTTATTATTCATTATCTGTTTCTGCTGGATTGTAAATTCCAACAGGGCAGTGAGCTCAAAAACACCTGTCTAAAGAATGAACAAGCAACTACTTTGAAGATATCAATACACAATATATTAACCATTGTTAATCTCCTTTTTTTTGGAAATTCTGTATCACTGCTTTTATTCTTTTCTTGTTTAAAAAAAAGAATGAATGAAGTTTAAAGGAACAGGAGATATTTGTCCCAGAGACTAGGAAATTGGAGAAAGAGGAAACATACAATTATTTTAAAAGACTATCTTTGAAATAAATAAATGACATGTTGGCAGTATTTTTCAAGAAAGGATGACAGACATTTTCATAGGGTGTTTTTTGAGTCTCAGAAAACCTTAAGATAACATTACCCTCATTTGACAAAGAAATGAGGCTTAATGAAGTTAAATTCAGAGGCCTTTCAGAATCGAACCTGAACCTGAACAAACAGCTAGTTACAGTTTAGATTGAAAATGTGTGCAAATGCTCCTATGTATAGAAGGTGATTGGACCTGGGGACTCACAGTGGGTTCACCATCCATGAGTGGAGTAGCTGAGTGTGATTTTTGCCTCCTCCCTGCTCTCTCCGTTTCCCGGCTGCCAAAGGTTGAGCACTTTCTCCTAGGCCAGGCCTGAAATGGTGAGCAAAAATGAACCTCCCCACCCTCCAGCTGCAGATGGGACACTGAATCTCATTGACAGGAAAGTGAATAAGGTGGATATTAAACAGCACTATTAGGCAGATTACTTAAATTCTGATCATGTATTTAAAGGCTTAGTACACTGCCTGCCACATGGCTGACAAGCAATAATGCTGTCATCACCATCGTCTTTATAATTATTGACTCAGTTTCTGCCTAGCAGGATACAGCAAAAATAGTACGTACCATACAGACATTTTTAAAGGAAAGTAAGATAGTGCTACTCAGAGTTCAGGACACTAATAAGTGGTACTTTGATGGAATATGATAATAAGCATTGGCATTAAGGTCAAATCTAGGTCTCTGTATCCCACACTGAACTATATTATCTTTAAGTAGGGATTAGATTCATGCAACAAACCTATCATAGCAACAACAACAGTGAAATATAAAGGGATAGTTACTCTAAATTATATGTGACATTTCTCCAGCAGTCGGAGAAAGCCATTAGTGATGGCTCAGCTTCATGACATAGGGAGAATCTTGCCACAGAAGTGTTCAAGTAATGGGTAGAAAATCACATACAGGGAGATAAGTTGGG